CCTGTTTCTTTTACTCCCACTTTGAATGTATGATGAAACTCTTTCAGTCTTTCTCTGATCACCATTTTATTAGTCCCTCTGTATTTATTTGTGATCTTGTCGATAAGTATTCTGACCTGCTCTCCCATCACTGTGAAGTGTACAGGCTCTAAGTGCTGAAGATGCTCTGCTCTTATAGTGACCCTGCCAATGAACTCTCCCGATTGTTGGAGCACCCTTGATATGATAGTTTTATTACTGGTTTTACGATCTTCCTCTAATTGGTGGGGTATGTCTGTTTAGCTGCTTGTATAGCAGTAAAGCTGAAAATACATTAGCATTTGAGGAGCACAGAGCCCGTTAACCCACCCCCTGAGTTGTGCTTTAATTCAGGGGCTGTGGCATCCAGGGGAGTGAAACAGACAGTATTGTAATGGCGTGAAATGGGGATAGGCACCGGCCAACATAGTTCTCAGAGGTAGATCTTCAGAGATTTCCTGTATACCTCAGAAACAGATCAGATGAACATCTGCTTCTCTGCCTTTGTGTTTTCATGAAACAATGTCTATAGGGATACCGTGGTCCGAATTTGTGTACAAAGTCTGAAAACTGCTTATTGTTTGGGACAACGGTGAAGGTGTCTTGACTTGATCATCAGATGAGAATTAGATAATGGACTTTAAAGAATGTGGCAATCTGTTTAATGTTAAAATGTTAATTTATTTGTAAATGGAAAAAAAAAAAGCTTTAAAGACCTTTGTTAAAAATTGTTTCTTTATATCAATGTCTTAAACATGACCTGAAATTTTAAAGAAACTTATCGGAATTACGTTTTCATCCCTGTTTTTCCTAAGAATAAAAATGGAGGAAGTTTCTCTGCTTCTTGGACAAACCCAGTGTGCAGTAGTATTTAGGGAACTAGACTTTTTATTAGAAGGTTGCGTGTTCAAATCCCAGGTGGGACATTGTGGTTATACCCTTGAGCAGCTCACTTCACGTAGACTGCAGAAATACATGGCCTGTTGTGTCAAGTGTTCCACATTTAAGTCACATGGAATAAAAGTATTAGCATATACATTTATAACTCAGTTATGAATGTGTTGATGTGTGCACTGAAAAATAGAGGTGACGGTCTTGTGATAAAAGACAAATTTAACTGAAATTTAAGACAGTTTAAGCGGGCAGGTACAAATACCTAAGACCACCTACAGAAGCTACCTGCACATTTCTAATGTTTTGGGAGCTTTGCCAGCAATGCACTAAATAAAAGTGTCAGATAGCTGTTGTAAATGATTGTCTCCTAGTCCTCCAAATATCTTAAAACAGATCCTTCAATCCTCATCATCATTCTCCTTCATGTTAACAAAACAGGATCAATTAAATCACTAATAACATTAACATGAGTGGTGACTTCAGTTTTTATTAAGAAGGTTATATAATTTATGGCATGTGGTACCCACGAAAGCCCATTTTAGCATTCTGTGAAGAGTTTATTATCATTAAATATACACCTCCTCAAAATGATCACGTTTCACCAAAAGTACTTAAAAACCCCCCAAAAATGACAATTTACAATAGTTCCGTGATTTTTCTGGTGGAAATAAAATGCCACTTACAGATCCAAATTGCAGTTACAGTGTTGGGGTTTCGAGGGCGACCACAGCAATTCTATGGTGGATCCTGACTGCATTGTGAGTCATTCTGATTCAGAGAGTTAGGAACATTGGATTCCTGCAGAGACCACTCGCATCTGGAGCTTCACGGAATTATCTCTTTAATGTTAAACAAAGAAACATAAGAACAATAAAACATCAGAGATAAGCAGATCGATAAAAGGAAGAGCAGAGAGCTAGAGTAATATGTGAATAAACAAGACAGGGACACGAGATAGTGTACAGCCTTTTTAAACAAAGGATGTAGAAAACAAATGTGTTTGATTTTCTTACAGCAAACTTAGTAACAAGTGTTCTTTTCGGTGCATACTATCTTAGAAAATAGTGACAGAAATAAACACAACAGGTAAGTAAGTATGCAGGTACAGGTAGATAAATAACCTAAAAAAGCAGGCATGTTCCATCTTTGACAGGTCTATAGCTGGATGTATTTCTGACCAGCCTGCAAGCTCATGTCAGTCACGTCAATTGAGTTCAGCAAAGAGAGGCTACACATCTAGTATTGATTTGCACTAAAAATGTCTTATGCTCTCGGGCTCAGAACTGAGGTCTTAATACTTGTACGGATTAGATTATAGAAAGTATCTATTTAATTTGTAAAGAAACTATAACCTTTAGTAAATGCAATCAAGAAAATGTATGGTTAGAGTCTGTAAACATTCAATATGAATATTTCTTTGTACATTCAAGCATTTCTTTCCTATTTTATGTAACCTGCAAATAAGATCAACAGAAAGTTCATTACAGTGAATAATTCTCACCTTTCCTAACTTCAAAGTAACTGTGAGCTTGTTTAGATGTACTGAGAAGATTCTGTTAATTTCAGAATATAGTTTGCGATGAGATGTGCAATAATTCATCCAATATGGGAATAGTGCAACTTTCTACACAGAGAACTTGCTAAATTTGCAATGAACAAACTTTTCAGCATCTAACTAGCAATTCTTACAGGACATGAAGTATCAGAAATTATGCCATAGTTGGAACACAGTAAGGATGTGCAGGTATCTAGAAAACTGAGTGACTTAGAAGGTGTGTAGCAGAAAATGTATATCTTAATATAATTATTTTTTATCATCACTACTGGAGTGTCTTCAGAGAAGTGCCTAGGTCTAAATCAGATAATGTGAAGATGTGAGATCCTGCAGCAGGCTCACTAACGCTGGCAGGGAACGCACAGGGATATTTCCCTATGGAGATTAGAGTCAGACAACTCCCTGTATTGACAAAAAAATACAAATAAAAATACTGGCTTGGACTGAGCGCTGTGAATCTCCTGACTGGAGGGACTTGGGACCTGTCTCTCTGCGTCTAAGGGTGAGGGTGGGTCTGTGCGCTCTGAATTAGCAGGACGAAGCCTGTGACAAGGTAGCAGTGCATGCTGAAGCACTGCAATGGCAAACGAGGTGCCATCAACGATGAGCCCAAATAAGTCCACTACAGAGAGAGGTGTTGTTGTGGTTTTTGATCTCGTTTCACCAGTTGTTTTTGTATTCCATTTGGTAATTAATTTTGCTTTGGAAGAGTATTAAATAAAGAAAGGAGAGAAGGGAGGGGGGCAGAGCAGGAGAGGAGAGAGAGACGGGAGAGGCTAAGTAAAGGAAGCTAGTTATCCCCCACTCAGTGTCCTCCATGCCTGTGAATATAAATGGGAGAGCCGGCTGTTGGCAGCCAGTACAAACAGTGCCATTGTGTCTGTCTGGTGTCTCGGAGCTGCCAGTCACTGAGCCACAGTGTCACGCACATTAGGACCCCTGATCGCAGACACCAAGACACCGCCAATCTCCCTCGTGCAGCAAGAACTAGCATGTTAGAAGGGGCAGGGAAATTGGACATGGCGCTCTTAGAAAAATATTTAAAATGCTCTTGACCCATACACACTCACAGAAGCACCAGTTTTGCCAGCAGAACAAGTCTAAAATTTTAGGTGACCTTTTTGGGGAAAAATGTCACTGTGTCATATAACAATATCGGTTCAACAATTGCTGGGAAGGATATCAATCTCATCTGGAAAATTAATAACAATTGATTAAAAATAAAGGTTGATAATGGTAGTATACATCTTATTACACGTGCAGAATGAAATTTCTTTGTTATTTACCACCCTCACAGTAGGTAGGTATGCTGCAGAGCAGTGATAATAAAGTGGCTTGTTGGTGGATTCTACAGTCCTAAGGATAAGATTTTGTTTTAAAATGTATTTTCGCAGGGCTGAGAAATACAACCCAAATCAGATTTTATGAGATTTTATTTTTGGGGTGAAGTGATTCAGGAATGTATCTACTGCTTTCACTCAAAGGGTTGTGGGATTTTTACTCAGAAAGAAGAGGAATAAAATATTGCTTTATGGGAAAACAAAGACAAAGAATGGGAAATATCCAAATACAAAGAAATAACCTAGAATTTAGATCTTGTTTCAATGTGAAGCCATTTTGTTCATATTTGTTTTTGAGTCTCGTGTTGAAAGAGTTGTTCAATATGTATAAGCAGCCCAAGTCTGGACAGCTGTACTACTCTAGCTTGCACAAACAGCAAATGGCAACCCAAAGCTACTCCAGCTCATGGCCAATAATTTTTGCTTGTACAACACACAATCCAATAAATGAAGACAATTTCAATAATTTTTTTGTTACCATTAACAAACTGTTTAGTAGATGCTGTTATCCAGGGCAACATACAGTGTTTACAAAGGTTTACATTTATACATGACTAGCAGAAATCTTACATTCATTTATCCAAGCTACTGGACTGACACTTTGTTCTTCAGTGCAGACTAGCGGGTCATTTAGAAGGGTTACAGAAACACCTGAATGGTGCATTATATGCAGATATATATATCCGTCTATGTCTCCCAAAACTCCTCACAGATCTTTATCCACTCTGAGAGATGGTTTGTGTTTAACAGACTTACAGTAGTGATTGCAACCCTTATAGAATCTTGCATTGCATTTTTCCTCCTTAGAAACACAAGGCACACATAAATTTATAACCTGGTACTCTTGCATTTACTCTTATCATAAGCCAAGATCATAAGGCAAATGATGTGCAGAAAAATACATCTTAGTTTCTGACCCAGTACTATCCTAGGCTCCCTTGGTGTGCTTTCTGTGTCTGTTGTATTGTGGTGCTGAACTCAATATGACAGTATGACAAAACGTGCAATATTGACAGTACAAAAAGAAGTTGCAGAGGTCCTAAGACACAACACACAACCACCTGCTTTACAAATCATTGAACCATTCGATGGGTTTTTAAGCATTATTTCCAGACTCTTAGTATCATGCAGCAATTTATGAAGAAGAATTAATGATTCCTCATTGGTAAAGGAAATCTTTTTATGTTGCCCAGGAAAAGACGGTCCAGACCTTCCACGATTACAGTGCCTATAGAGGACGTCAGGAGACCAATCACAGCAATGACAACTTGACTTCAAGGAAAGGTATTCACCCTTTCTAATTCATTCAGTCTCACATTATTTACCTATATGTTTGTATGTTTTCCCTGTGACTTTGCTTTCAGTGTTTTCAATCCCATCATCAGTGCTCATTCTCCAGTAGGTTACGAGACATCCAAGGTCCAAAAAAACTTAGGAAGTTCTGACAAGTGTACATTTACAAAGGAAGTGAGTACAGTTCTCATCCTAAATGCTGTGCTGGTGAGCGATTTGCTGAGGTGCATGTACAATTACTAGAGTGAATTATTGGAAATTTTACATTATTTAAAATAAGGAAATTTTGATAGAAATTTCTGAAATCATTGACGTAAGGTGCATGAAGGAGTGTGCAGACAATCAATGAGCTGTTCTTTATGTTAGCTGTCAAGACAGTGCAACCCTACCTGGGCTATCATCACACATTATAGATCCCTCTTGCTGCCCAGTGTGTATTGACACTCTTAAAAGATCTGGGGCTTAAAGGAACATGAAGGAAACACTTTCTTTTCAGGCACGTAATGCACAACAGACTCCATGAGACCATGAAGTCTTTGTTATTCATTGCCACTGCTCCTTTTAACTTAACGTTGAGGAATCAGAGCCTTATTTCCAGAATTCTGTTTAACTTACAACTTGTTATACACACTTGGTAAGCAGAGCTTGGAGTTTTCCCAGTAGTCAAAGTAAAACTGAACAAAAGAAGGTCTAATGATACCATGAAAGGCCACAGCCCTCAACAGCTCCTCTCTAGACTTTTGGCTGTACATAATTCAGAGCGCAGATACTTTTGGCATGTCAATGTATAAACCCACACACACTGTATATGGAATGAGATGTTTTTACCTTGTTTTTTTTTTAAATCAAAGAGATATGGAAATGAATGATTTGACAGATAGACTTAATTTGAGATGCCCTGTGCTTGTCTCTGTACTGATGTTTCTGAACCAGTGTGCTACAGCACCCTGCCTCCTTTGGAAACTGGTTCAATATTAAGATGTATGAAAAGTCTCCCGGATGCTCAGCTTTGACTGTCAGTGGCAACATGACCCAGATCTGGGCTGACTCCCTGTTGCAGGCTGCTATTCCCTGCTTTGTACTTGAATAGGAAAAAAGAAAGCAAAGATGAAAATGCTGAAACTTCAGCATCTGCCTCAGCAACTTTTCTGTTCAGAACTTTGCTCTGTTTACAAAACCTCATCCACTCCGTCTCACTGATTCATCTGATTTTGAGTTTTGTTTTTCTGTCTTCAGAAACACATTTCCACCCTCAGGCTGGGGGACTAGTTTCCTAGTAGTCTTTGATATTAGCCCAAATCATGCACAGCTCACTTGCACTAAGTGTGTAAGAATGCAATCACATTCTATTTGCCGTAGTTTAAACTAGGTTTTAGCTTTATAGAAATGTGCACATCCTTTTACATTAAGTATATTTTAATGCCAGTCAATGGTGGGTAGTAGATGGTTGTGACATTTAAAATTGTTTTTGATATTTTATTATTCTAAATTATGTTCCCATTGAGGGTGGAACCAAGCCACAGTAATTAATATCACAACAGGTCTCTGAGTGATAAAGGGGAAACTGTCTAAACTCAGGAGTACCAATATTGGTCTGCTGTCATCTCCTATCCCACAATTCCTAGCATTAGGAGCAAAGGAATTGTGTGATGCTTGCAAACATATTTGAATTGCTTTACTTTGTAGTTTAAAGGATTTTGGACAACTGTATATGCTAAATCATTTTAACTTTTTGTAGCACAAATGTGGAAGAAACTTTAAGTCTGCCTTTCTCTAACTTTCATATAATTATTGTCTATCTAACAAAAAGATTGGATCTGGGATGGTTTTATAAGATCTTGTTGATATAATGTAGTTTCCTCAACACTAACCAAGAAACGTGACTTAAAGAAAATACATTAACAAATGGCAAGTAGTACATTGTTCAGTTTTGCTATCTTTGATTGAAAGAAATTCAAAAATATCTTTATACTTTTAAAGTTTATTATTTTCACAGCTATCTCAGATGAGCCTCTTGCGTTTGATGATGTACTTCAATGTATTTGTATGTTTATGAGGTGCATCGAGCAGAATGCTTTGAGGAACACTGGATATTAAATACCTCATGGGCTTTGTTATACATTTCCCTTCTTGTGAGAGGGAAACAACAAAGTGTAGATGGAACTTTTACATTTGTAAAATAGATATTCTCAATGAAAGAAAAGACAGATGTAGGTCATATACAGTAATTACAAAGGATGTAATACCACAGGAACATGAGAATGGTTATAAATAAGATTAAGCCATTTGGTCCACCTGGCGTGTGTGGTTACTAGTCGCTCAGGTATGATAATACAAGACAAAAACATAAAGATTCTATCTGTTGAGGGGGAATGCTGATACCCTTTTCCAATAAAAAAGGTTAAAGCATTTTCTTACTTAAGTCGACCACACTCTTTCAGCACAATCTAAATCCGAAACGTTAAAAAACATCAAGCTTACCATATTACTTTTTGCAGTTGATGTTCAGGTCCTTGAGAATTATTGCCAATGTTAGAATTCCAAGACCTATGTATGGAGCTGTGCTTGTTAGCGGCTCGAGGCTATATTTTAATGTGAAGAGGTGCTAAAATAGCACCTTCACATGTTTAATTTCTCACAAAAGCTGTAAAGTAACATGCCTGCTGATGCACAGCCACAGAAACAGACAAGCCGTGTGCACACACACAACGCACCACTGCCAGCACAACACCGCCAAAGTCACTTCTAGTGCCATACGACCCTTTCAGATTTGATTTAAGCATTTTTTTTTCTGAATAAACCACATCACTCGTTGCTTGTAGACTAGCGACTACATATAGTATACCTAGGAATTACAGTTATTTTTCGCCATTTTTTTTTCTAAGGACACCAATTATATTGTAGTTGCCATGGCATCAGCTTGGCAGTAATAAAAGGTCTGTTTTTAGTGCTTTAATTTCTTCTTGTTTCCCCCACAGCGACTGCCAGTTATTCTCACCATGTCTCGATGGAGGAAGAAAATAAAAGGGCGCAGTTTTAAAAAAAAAGACAACAAAATACAAAGTCAACCCCGACCCCCCCACCCCCCTCCATCTACCCTCTCCCATCCCTGCTCTCCTAACCCCCTTGTCCCCCTGGCTCTGCCCCTCCTGGGAGCCCTCAGTGCCATCTGTGCCCCCCGAGAAACTGCGAGCCCCTTCCAACCGGTGCCAACAGGGACAAAGAAGCTGCCAGCCGCTGCCGTCCCCCGCCCTGCCAGATGCCATTTTGTGTGCCGGAGAACCATGTGAGTGTGTGTGGGTGTGCTGCGGAAGCCATCTTGAAAGGAAATCTTGCTGCTGCTCCTAAAATGGCTGTGTTGGCACGAGGTAGGTGCATCATTGCCTTATATTCCATGGAGGTTTTCTCCATCTCTCCCCGAGCCCTGACTCTCCTCCACTCTTTCCTTCTTTCCGAAACTCTTGCCTATTTTATCTCGCTAATTACCGGAGAAGGGGGTGGGGTGGGGGGTGAGGAGAAATGTGAAATAAATGAACTGGCACAGGCAGGAGGACAGCCTGCCATCTCCCTTGTCATCTTTTTCTTCACGCTTTCTCTCCGTCCTTCTCCCTTCTTTTTGAGAGATCTCTGCCAGCGACCTCTTTTGAAAAAAAAATTGAATTAAGCAACTTATAATTCGCGATGTCCCCCCCCCCCCCCCCCGCCGCCTCAGTTAATTTTTGATGATCGTTTTCATTTTCTGTGCTTGAAATGACAATTCGCAATGAATGTTTTCCATAACCAGTCCCCCCTACCCCCACCCATTTTTGCCACTCATTACCTCTCACAAACACACACACACTGTGCATTATGCAAATCCAGGATAACACAAATCAGGTCATTACAGATTACCCTGTACTCCTCTCACATACCTATATATGGTCAAATGACAACGTATGTTTTATTTTTGATGCAAGATTTGGTGACGGTATATATATTTATATTTGTGATATTCTACTGGTTCATTTCTTATTCCATTCATACCCACATATATTTTGCCAAGACCCCATAGAATCAGTCTTTCTTTCTTATTCAGCTTTATTCTCCACTGGTTCTGTCTTTACAGCTCTGTGCATTTGCTTATAACTGCTGTAGATTTAAAGCTGCATTAACTATTAAACCTATTGTTATTTAAGAATGAGATTAAATCAATCCTAGTCTATCCACTTAATAAATTCTTCTGATTTTGGTCCCAGTATTCATGTTTGTTTTGACAATGTAAAAGCAAACTTACACATTTTTAATTTGTCATTTGTCTGAAATACAATCATTAGAACCTTCCTGCTTTGTTTGCTGTGAAAATCTTGAGTCTGAACTAAAATGAAATATAGTAAGAAACAGTTAACTAGTCGTTATAAAGAATGGACAACCATCTCTTAGGTGTACAAACACTAAAGAAATCCTCTCCATACGTTATATACACCAGATTTAAGAGTTGAAAAATACTATATTTCTACATTGAAATTAATTTGTTCCTATCAACATTTTCTTTTTGGCTTTAAAGGTTTCACTAAGAGTTTGTGCACCTGGAGAACAGAATCTTGTTGGAGGCTCTGTACAGATTCACTGCTTGCTCTCAAAGTGGCTCTTTGCTTCAGTGCAAAATTAACGTTATACACAGGCCGACCTCTGCACTAGCACCTCAGAAGAGAGGTGCGTCAGACAGTTCTGAATACTGTTCCCAGAACAGAGCATTCTCCTGCAAACAAAAATGCCTGTGTGAAAACAAGCTTCAAGAGATTCCATGAGCTGAAAACCTCTCAGCTATACAGACTGTCTTTGACAAGGTAATTTTACTGAAACCACTGCTCTTCAAAATCCCATTTGAAACATCCACACCCTACTACATCTTTAATATTGATTATGTCTTTGTTCTTAACAGATATTAAAAGGTATTAATTCTTCTTTTAAAATGAAACCTATTAGGAGAGAACCACTCACACTGAATTGTCTGTAAGTACAGGTGAATTTCTGAGTAGAACCTAACAGGATGGAAGGAGAGAGAAATATTCTTTATGTGTTTGTATTCCATTCAGGTAAAAGAATGCTTATAGTTACGAGAGCAAAAAAAAAGTCTTAACTATCCATCTGCTGTAATTACCCTTACTTATATATATATATTGTTTTTAATGATTGTGTGCTATGTTCCTCATGGCTTGGATAAATCAGTGTACACAAACACCATGGCTTCTCTTTTAAGAAATGACTCTGTATTTTCAGGCATCAGTCACTTTATATACATTTTTTGGGATAAAGTGAAAAAGTTTTGATTAGGCAAAAGATTACTCACTTGACTAGTTTGTCAAAATAAAAACACCATATTATGAAACAAATATACAGAACAACTCTGTATATTTACAGAAAAAAAATACAATTTTATATATAAAAAAGATCTGCATCAACCTCTCTATTTTGTATAATATTTAGAAAAAGAAACATACATTTTCCTTTCTACAACTGGACGCCTAGCACAAATACCCCTTTTGCCTCCTGTTTAAGATGTATCAGCTTCTGCATTTGTTGGGTAAAGCATGCCAAAAATATTTCACCCCAACACTGACTGTGTAAACACTGTCCAAGCTTTCATACAATAACTGTTACTGTTTGTGATGGATTTTCAAAGAAACGAAAAAATGGACAGTTATCTGGAGATAAAGCCTACATTACGATGAGCAAGTTTAAGACCCCAGACCTTACAAAAATGGTGAAGTGCAGTTTCAGTTACTGTAATTGACGCAGTGAATGCAATGAGTTTTATTAATGAGTACAGTCCCTTGGTCCATTGGCATACATTGGTGCCATTGTTCTATTAGAAGACAAAAGCTTTGGAAAGATTATTTTACTATGCTTAGGCAGTAGGATAGAGAAATGAAAACAGAAGGTAGAAACAGTATGTGTGAACAATAAAAATAGTAAATAACAAAAGACTATATACAGTACAGATCATCCAGACGAGAATATATGATGTTAAGCTAATCATGGACATTGTTCTGCACATCTTTATTATATTTAAATCATACATATTAGAACGAAACCACGACTCTGATGGTAATATTAAATGTGGGAAAATGCACAGTGTATTCGTGATACATAGTCAATGAACGAATTAACCTCGCCTCAAAAATTAATCAGAGCACTTGATAATCGATTTGACATTCATTCTTGGTTAAATATCAGGGGAAAAAAAGATCGTATACTTACAGCTAGAGCTCGGAACCATTTCATCCTATTTAGATTTCGAAGCCCAAAAGTAAGCGAAAAAGGTAAAAAAAAAAACAACGATCGATGCTTGATATTGTGTTAAATTCAATTACAAGACAAAATTGTTGTTTGATGAAGAAATACCTTCTTAACACGAGAACATAGAATACGATTTATTATTTTAAATGATGATTCTTTAAAAAAATAAAGACTATACACAAAACCCTTTACTGTATGATTTCATTGAGATAACACGTGAAAATACATGAGAGACAATAAAGCAACTGCTGCTATTAATGAATAAGCCCAGACAAGCTTTTCTTATTAACATAATTGCATTGAAACGAGGAGAGAGGGCAGAGCCGACAGTTAAAGACACAGTAGCGCCTTCTTCTTTCGTGCAAGTCACCTCCAGTCATTGTCTCTGTCTGTAGGCTTGTTGGCACACCGAAACTCCTACTGTACGAAGCCATACAATACGTGATGTATATCAATAGATTGCACTTTTGTTTGTTTTGACTGAAAACAATGTGCGTCTTCCAGTTTGAAGGCTAGTGCAGTCCCACCCTATTTTTTTCTTTTTTTTCTGTGTGTGTGCACAAAAAGTTGAAACATACGTGTAAGTTAACTATAAAAATAATTTAAAACACTAAAGAAAACTGCAGCAGGCTCCTTATGGTTTGCTAATATTAGTATCGATCCTCCAAATACCCTAAGAGATCAAATGCTAATTGCAATAAGACCACATATTTATTAAGTGTGCATTGCTCTTACATGCATGTGGTGTTAATGGTAATGAAGATTACTACATAGATGAACATACACAACATTGTCTGATTTAAAATAGCTATCTTACCTTTTGAACAATACATTGTTTCCACGTGAGTCTATCTGTAAATATGATTGGAACCCGTTCTAAACTGTAGACATTAATTAAGGCATAAGAAAATGCTTAAAAAATACAAAAATCAAATGTTTTTAGATTGTTCTGTTGTTACTCAATATACTATAGTTCAATACCTATTTTACAAACCACTACACATTCAAAGAACATCCCTTTATAAAATTTCGAGGGGAGTTGTCACATTTTTCCATAATAAATACGTACTAAACAAATACATCAACGGAGCACACAATGAAAATGTCAGATATAACTTCCGAATAAACATGATAATGAGAGATTAATTAGCAGAGGTGCCTTCTGAAGGCCTTAATTAGCCTGTTGCCTGCTCTTTCCACACCTGCTTTTCTTTACATAATAGAGCGGCCTCTCGTTTATGCTTATCGAGAGCGCTGGCATTTTCATTTAAAAGCGAAAGAAATAAGAACCGCAGGAAAAAATGATGGGGTTAAAAAAAAGACGGTGTGATCTTATGGGCAAAAACAGTTCGGAGACATTTCAAATTATTTATTGTTATTGACCAATAGTTAGATCTGAATCATCCCAAGGCCCTACTGTACCTTTAATGTTCTGCAGTTTCCCTAATTAGAACTGCTGTCTGTGTCGAAGGGGGAGGGGCGACCTTCTTAGATTTGCATCTATCACTTTATTTGCAAGCACGAACTGTGTGCTCCACAGGGAGAATCTCACAGCTGCAGTAAACCCGCTGAAGAACACTTCGCTAGGGTGCCAAGGCTGGATTTCAATGTTGCAGTTGGACTTCCGTTGTTACAAACAAATATACGAACCGTGCAAAATGAGACATTAAAATCACCATTGCACCTATACAACATTTTCAAATGATTTTTTTCTTCTTCCGTGAAATGTAATTAAACGAAAACAGCGGATCCCATTGCCATCTGCACTGTGGCACGCAGGGAGTCAGTTAACGTTTATTTCTAAGAAATACTTTGCTCGCAGGGCACGTACATTAGTATGTATCTGCAAGTATCAAACACAGTGTACTGCAATATTTACTTCGAGAAAAGATTGTTTTTTTTTATTATGTCCCTGGATAGCATCATAAAAGAATATTTATATTTTACTTGCTAATTACCCCTTGTTGCTTTTATAAAGTGTGTAGGCTTAGCAACACTTAATCGTGTATACATAAAGTCCATGCTAACATGGTTATATTAGGAGACACTTTGAAATAATTTTACTAATACATTAGCGGGTGAACACCACCAAGTCTAACGTTTTGTTTTCTGTAGCAAATAGCAAACTACAAGATGTTGCCTTTTAAAGTTTGTCAGCATTCATTTAAATTTGTTGTTGAACATTATATATATTTTAAATAGATAAAAGAATAATTTTTACAGGCAAAAAGAGTGTACAGTTTGTGACACAAAAATAATAACTAGGGTTATTCAATTTATTGAATTTTCATTTACAAATATTAACACAGGTCACATTTGTGTGTAGATATGACCACAAAAGTTTCAGAGATTATAAGTTTACTTTTGTTTTTCTCTTACAAACGCCAACAGGATTAGACTAGAATGTATGGCATTCGAAAACGAACAGCAGTTTTCCATCCTTACTGAATATAAAAAAATAATTAAAAATGAAATACTGGCACTCCGTAGACAACTGGTCATAGGTGCGGTTGATATTCAATTCTAAATATGAGCTTAATGTCAGTGTCACTCCAGTTAGGATCTCTTCAGGTGAAGGGCTTTGTAAGACATCATTATTTGAGATATTCGGAGGAAGGAATGATGTACAAACAGAAGGAGGAAGGATGAAAAGAAGGTGACGAATAACAGCTACAAATCCCAGGAGTAGTAAGGACAACATGTCAGGATTCCAGTGGTACCCAGTAAGGGCTTGTGCCTGCTCTGTCCACCACAGCGGTTGGATTTCAAAGGCTAACAATCTGAGTCTTCCATTTGGAAATGAAGTGTGCAGTTTTTAATTGATCTGATTAGAAATCTTTACTGAAAACAATCCAGGGCCTAAAAGAAATCCTGAATTCTGGAAGGGTTAGGCCCTGTGCCCACCAATGACCACTTAAAAATGGACAGCTCACAAGGAACCATTACTTTACCTGCTCTTCATAAAAAGAGCTTAAAGGAGATTTCTAATTTCAGTCTCCAATGAAATAAGTTTCTTGTAAGATAAGCTGAGAAACAACTTTTAAACCATTTCGGTCTGTGGTTTTAGTCTACTCTTATTTTTTTCAGAGTCTCAGTGGTGTATCTTTATTATTACCCTGGTAAATCAATCAGTACAAGGAACCTTTCTTACCCGTCACCCATGCAGGACACTTCTAAGGAACTTATAGTTATATTTGTCTGGTAGAACGTTCTTAGGAGCAGCATAGTGTACAGACCCTTGGGGGCACAGGAGGGCATTGACCAGAGTTTGCTGTTACATAACACTCTGGACAGAAACCAGGGATTTCTACAGAGCACTCCTCCAACTATACATGGCATAGTAGGGGAAAATGTGTAGTAGGAAGGAGCTCAGGTTAGTTTTAAGAGACATAGAGGAAAAGAAAATTCAATAGAACAGGAATTATTCCCAAGTATGCAAACGATCCTTTCAGGTAGTTAATTTTTTAAAATAACTTGTTGCAGTTTTTAGAAGCTCAATTATCCTCTAAATTAGTAACAAGATTATTGCACAGAATACATTGTACAT